GGTGGCTCACGCCTGTAATCCCAGAACTCTGGGAGGCCTAGGCAGCTGGATCACCTGAGGTCAGGAGTTCCAGACCAGCCTGACCAACATGGTGAAACCCCATCTCTACTAAAAATACTAAAATTAGCAGGGTGTGGTAGCACATGCCTGTAATCTCAGCTACTTGGGAGGCTGAGACAGGAGAATCGCTTGAATCTGAGAGGTGGAGGCTGCAGAGAGCCGAGATCATGCCATTGCACTCCAGCCTGGGCAACAAGAGTGAAACTCCATCTCAATAAGAAAAAAAATGTATGGGATGCAGCAAAAGCAGTACTTAAAGTTTATAGTAATAAATGCTGATGTTAAAAAACAAGAAAGATCTTAATTAAACAACCTTATATTACACTTCAAGAAGCTAGAAAAAAATAAAGAATAAAATAAGCCCAAAGTGAGCAGAAGGAAGGAAAGTTTAGGGCAGAAATGAATCAAATAGAGAAGAGAAAAACAATTGAAAACAGTCAACAAAACTAGGTGTTGGTTTTTGAAAAACTAAACAAAATTGATAAACCTTTAGCAAGAATACAAAAAAGAGAGAGACTCAAATAAATAAAATAAAATGAAAGAGGAAACATTACAATAGATGCCTCAGAAATAAAAGGAATGCTATGGGACTATTACAACCATACACCAAAACACTGGATAACTGAGAAGAAATGGATAGAGTCCTGGAAATATAGAACCTGCCAAAAATGAATCAAGAAGAAATAGAAAGCTGAAACAGACCCATAGCAAATATGGAAATTAAATCAATAATCAAACACCTCTCAACAAAGAAAAGCACAGGACCAGATGGTTTCATGGGTAAATTCTAACAATCATTTAAAAAAGAATACCAGTCTTTCTCAAACCTTCCAAAAAATAGAAGAGAGAATGCTTCCAAACTCACATTATGAGGCCAGCATCACTCTGATACTAAATCCAAAGACATCAGAAGAAAGAAAAGTACTAGGTCAATATCTCTGATGAACACAGATTTTTAAATCTACAATAAAACACCAGGAAGCCAAACTCAACAACACACCAAAAGGATTATATACCATGGCTAAATGGAATTTATCCGTGGGATAAAAGGTAGAGTATCACTTTGTTCAACGTCAGCTGGCAACATGTGTACTATGTGAGTCAAATTTTTTGTCTCATTATTCCCAGTAGCTACATTCTATCATGTTGCTGCAAAAACAGAATTAGCAAATAATGAAACACTAATGCTCTAGGAAATACAGGGTAAAGTTCCTGTGAGCTTCTGGACATAACATTTTCATCCACCAATTAATATATAACCTGTGGCCAGGTGTGGTGACTCACACCTGTAATCCCAGCATTTGGGGAGGCTGAGGCGGGCAGATCACCAGGTGAAGAGATCAAGACCATCCTAGCCAACAAGGTAAAACCCTGTCTCTACTAAAAACACAAAAATTAGCTGAGTGTGGTGGCGCACACCTGTAGTCCCAGCTACTCGGGAGGCTGAGGCAGGAGAATCACTTGAATATACATATCCTTGTTTGAGATGTGTTTCTGTGCAATAATACTTTAGTTAAATTTACACTGTTGATTCATTAACATTGAACTCATGGCCAAAACCACCATAACTCATGCCTAAACAAAGCTTATATCTAACACTTGCATATTTTCTCTGTAAGGCACACCACAGCCTTCTTGTGCTTAGGAACCTTAGACAGCAGCACTTCAGCACTATGCTTGGTGGCCGTTCTAAATAGTGAAAAAACACAAAAACATAAAACATATTTCACTAAATAAAGAAAAGAATGCCTGTTTACAATATGAGGGCTGCAAAAAGAAGGCAGGGCATCACTTTGTTCAGCCTCAGCTGGGAACATGTGTGTGGGGTGGTCAACTTTTCTGTTGTTCTGCACACTGCAGTCCCTTGAATGACTATGAAACCTCTGTAAGTACTGATTTGGGTGTTACAAATACATCTTAGTAAGTGGGGGAATTCACAAATATGAAATCCACAAGTAATGAGAATCAACTATATATCCACAGGATTGTTTTAGAAATAGAATTTCTGGATCAGAGGCCATGTACAAATGCCTTTGAGAGATACTGCCAGGTTGATGGCCACAGACATTGTACCAATTTCTATTCTGACAACAATAAATATGTATTATGCTCTTTGTTTTAAACAATGTAAAAAGAAATAAAAGTTACTGGAAGAGTTGGCATGGAGGAATGAAAAATGGTTGTTGGCTGGGTGGGCTCATCCCTGTAATCCCAGCACTTTGGAGGCCAAGTAGGGAGGGTCGCTTGAGTCTAGGAGTCTGAGACTAGCCTGGGAAAAACAGCAAGATTCTGTCTCTACAGAAAATAAAAAAAGTAGCTGGGCATGGTGGCACATGCCTATAGTGCCAGATTCTCAGGAGCCTGAAACAAGAGGAATGCTTGAGTCCAGGAGGTTGAGGCTGTAGTGAGCTGTGCACTCCAGCCCAGGTAACAAAGAGACCTTGTCTCAAAAAAAATTTTTTTTAAAAAGAAGAAGAAAGAATAAAAAACTGTTTACTATCCATCTGACAAGGGATTAACAACCAGAATATATAAGGAGCACAAACAACTCAATAGGAAAAATCCAATATCCTAATTTAAAAATGAGCAAAATATCTGAAAAGGTATTTCTTAAAAGGAGACATGAGATGGCAAATAGATATACGAAAAGGTGTTCAGTAGCACTGATCATCAGAGAAACTGATTAAAACTACAATGAGATATCATCCCACCCAGTTAAAATGGCATTTATCCAAAAGACAGTCAATGACAAATGCCGGTGAGGATGTAGAGAAAAGGGAACCCTCATACCCTGTTGGTGGGAATGTAAATTAATACAACTACTATGGAGAACAGTTTGGAGGTTCTTCAATAACCTAAAAATAAAACTACCATATGATTCAGCAATCCCCACTGTTACATATATATCTAAAAGAAAGGAAATCAGTATATTGAAGAGACATCTGCACTCCCATGTTTATTGCAGCACTGCTCACAATAGATGAGATTTGGAAGCAACCTATGTGTCCATCAACAGATGAATGGATAAAGAAAATGTGGTACATATACACAATGGAATACTATTCACCATAAAAAAGAATGAGATCCTGTCATTTGCAACAACATGAATGAAAGTGGAGGTCATTACGTTAAGTGAAATAAGCCAGGCATAGAAGACCAACTTCACATGTTCTCACTTATTTGTGGGAGCTAAAACTTAAAACAACTGAATTCATGGAGACAAGAGTAGAATAATGGTTACCAGAGGTTGAGAAGGGTAGTGGGGCAGGGGGGAAATGGAGATAGTTAATGGGCACAAAAAATCAGAAAGAATAAATAAGACCTAGTATTTGATACTGTGAGATTTACACAACGAAGTGACTATGGTCAATAATAATTTAATTGTACATTTTAAAGTAACTAAAAGAGGCTGGGTATGGTGGCTCACGCCTGTAATCCCAGCATACAGGGAGGCTGAGGCGCGTGGATCACTTGAGGTTGGGAGTTCCAAATCAGCCTGGCCAACATGGTGAAACCTGGTCTCTACTAAAAACACAAAAATTAGCCAGGCATGGTGGTGGGTGCTTGTAATCCCAGCTACTCAGGAGGCTGAGGCAGGAGAATCGCCTGAACCTGGGAGGTGGAGGGTGCAATGAGATGAGACCATGCCACTGCACTCCAGCCTGGGCGACAGAGCAAGAATCTGTATCAAAAAAAAGTGGGGGGGGGAGGCAGGAAATAAATAAAATACCTAAAAGAGTATAATCGGATTGTTTGTAACACAAAAAAATGCTTGAGGTGACAGATAACTCATTTACCTCGATGTGATTATTATATGTTGTATGACTGTACAAAAACATCTCATATAACCCATAAATATATATATATATATATATACCTACTATGTACCCATGAAAATTTAAAAAAAATTTTTTTAAAGAAAAATGGTTTAGAAGAATGCTAAAAGTAACAACAAAGTCAAAGTTTCATGTGTGTATGTGCATGTGTGTATTTTAATGAACACATTATCTTAGCCAATTAACAGATTTTTAGGGGAATAAGTATATGTATTGTTTGCCACAATAAAATAGTGGGATTAAAAATAATTTAGATTTCCAACTTCTCTATGTCTTCCTTATTTATTTATTTATTTTTTGAGAGAGTCTTGCTCTGTTGCGCAGGCTGTAGTGCAGTGGCATAATCTCGGCTCACTGCAACCTCCACCTCCTGGATTGGAGTGATTCTCCTGCCTCAGCCTCACAATTATCTGGAATTACAGGCATGTGCCACCAAGTCTGGCTAATTTTTGTATTTTTAATAGAGATGCGGTTTCACCATGCTGGCTAGGCTGGTCTTGAACTCCTGGCCTCAAATGATCTGCCCACTTCGGCCTCCAAAAGTGCTGATATTATAGGTGTGAGTCACCGCGCCCTGTCTGTCTTCCTATTTTTGAGTGTCTAATCACAATGAAAGCTCATGTGAAATTTAGAACAACAGCCAACTTCCAGGAAATGTACTGGGCTTAGTTCACAATGTCCTGTTCTTTTTATATCTTAGTCTATACCAGTGGTTATAAAAGCTGGAGAGCTTTTCAAAACACAATAGGATTCCTCTATCTCAGACTTAGTATATCAGAATCTCTGGGGAAAGAGCCAAGAAATCTTTATTTTTTTTTTAAAGTGTACAGATAATGTTTATGAACAAATAGTCTAGGTCACTTAAAATCAGACAAAAAAGTACTGCAGAAAGTCCAATCATGTTTGGTGTGTTATACTTCTTAGGACACAATACCCAAGAAAATATAAAAAGCCAAACAAAGAAGTTTCTTGCCTCCTATGAATCAAAAAGTTAAACACAAGTGCTTATACTACATAGATTTGAAATATAAAATGCTGAAAAACAATCTGATAAAATATATTACCATTTCCTCTCATAATTTTCAACCTCAAGGACTAGCTTACCTGTAGAAATAAGAGCACCCTCGGACAGTGTTATGGGTATAGTGCTCCAAGGTCTTCTCACTGCCATAATCCTCTGAGGGATCAGACCAAAGCAGGTCACACACAGGCCCAAAGGCAGGAGGTTCCATAAACCTGTCTAACTAGAAGACACACAAAAGCAAAAAGAAAAAAGTCAGGAGAGCAAAAGGCTCTGAGAAACTTGTATGTGTCAAAGAAAAACCCCTTCCACCCACAAGAATGTATTAGGAGAGATGCCAGTATGCCCCTAAAAGATTTTCCTGCAAGAAAAGGAACATTTAACCATTTTAGATATATAATTTTTATTATTTTTCTGGAATAAATTTTTATCAATATCCCTGTCATCTAACCATACTGCAGTAAAGGAGCCTCTTACATCCTAATTGTAAAGCAGTACTAATTTAATTCAAATGTGCAATCATTTAATTCAAAAGCAATATAGAAATATACTACTTTAGAAAGACTATGACTATATAAAATTATTTTTAATTGTCTAGGTGAGCCAATGTTATCATGAAGGCAGAAATGTTTTACTCTGGTTCTGTTCACTGCAAACCTCATTCCAGTGGAGATTTCTTTATTTTAAAGAATGCTAAGTTTGTAAGGGCGTTTCCATAGAATGGAAAATTCTATGCAGTTGAGGTATTTCAATATGAGTTATTAAGCCTTTAGTCATTGCTGCTTTAGTTAAAAGCAATAAAAACCAAGAGAAAGCAAGTACTACAATAGCTCAGTTCTAAGAAGAGAATTTCTACTGAGTGAAAGAGCTTTTTATTGATACAATTGATTCAGAATTATAAAATTCATATTTTCCTATGTAAAAGAGAAATGCTGGTTATTTAAAAGACAGAAAGGCAGGAGAAAAGCCAATACATACAGGTATCGTCTCTCACCCTGAGAAGACTGACTTTCATTCACAGAAAATAGTTTTATAAACAGAAAAATCTTTTTAGTCTCAGTACCTATAAGAGAGGATGAGTATCCATCACTTTGATGAAAAAAGAGAGAGAAGTAGAAGAATTCAAAGGTAGAGAAGAGAAGATGGCCATGTAGTATAAAAATTGGTCATTTTTTTCCAAAATGAAGATACAGAATCCTGAAAATAATAGTCACCAAGGAAGGCAAGTATAACAACGAAACTGTATCATCTAAAATGTCAAAGCCAATGCATTTCAGAGCTGGCAGTGTCCTCAGACCATCCTCTCCAACTTCCTCATTTCATAGAGAAGAAATGTGACTAAGAGGTTCAGTAATTTGGTCCAGGTTACACAATTAATGGCAGGACTGTGATTAGAACCCTGGTGTCCTTCCTTTTGCACTGTGACATAATTTAAAGTTTCAGGACTATACTACAAGAATGTTAGGTTTCTAGTTGGTAAAAACAGAGCTCATTAAAAATTATAATTTGTGGCAGATACATATCAAAATGTCAACAGTAGTTATCTCATAGTGATGAAGTCAGAGGTAACTTCCATTTTCTTACTTTTGATTATCTGCATTTTAAAGATTTCAGCTAAAGATATACTGATTGACTGCAATAAGAAACAAATTTTAGGCCAGGCTTGGTGGCTCACACCTGTAATTACAGCACTATGGGAGCCCGAGGTGGGCAGATCACTTGAGGTCAGGAGTTCAAGACCAGCCTGGCCAACATGGTAAAATTCTGTCTCTACCAAAATTATAAAAATTAGCCAGGCGTAGTCGTGTGAACCTGTATCCACCTACTCAGGAGACTGAACCAGGGAGGTGAAGGTTGCAGTGAGCTGAGGTTGCACCACTGCACTTCAGCCAGGGCAACAGAGAGAGACTTTGTCTCAAAAACAACAACAACAAAAAAAACAAATTTTAAAGATTATGAGAGTAATAAAAGATTACTTACTTTCCTAATGTCATCTAAAGAAGTAATTTCAGGTGACATTCCTCCATGAACACACAGAAACTGCTGGTTTAAGAGGGCAGCAAGAGGAAGACAGTCAAATGTCTCCATGCAGGCATCATACACCTGTTCAGAATATTTGATTCGACCTAATAAAAAAGGAAAATCAGTCAATTGAAGAAAAGCTAAAATGTAAAATGTATCACATTTGAAAAAGGATATAGGCCAGGAGAATATGGAGCTATTTTAAAGACATTTATTTCAGATAATTTGAAAGCACAATTATCTTTGTAAAGATACTTTTGAAAAGTTGTAGATAATAGGTTAAAAAACTCTCTCTCCTCTTAAAGACAAGTATGACCTTGGATTAACTTTCACGCTCTATTGCTTGGAAACTTGATAAGGTGACTGTCCACTGTGTTATTAGGCAACATGGCTTATGGTGAAAATTACCTAGGTACCTGGTGGGAAGCTACAGCTTTGGGCTCCTCTGAAGGTAGTTTTATAACACACATCGACACTTTTGATGCATGAGGCTTCTATACCAGGATGGCTACCTAATCTTCCCACTGTGGATATTGTTTACTTGTACCTGAGCTGGTGGGAGGATGGGAGAAGGCAAGAAAGACAGAAAGCCACTGGACTGCAGTATGCACTCCGGTGAGGACCACTCCACTGAAAAGGAACACCCAGTGCTGCCTTTCCTGACCTGTATTCTTCTAAGTATATGAATGACAAGCAGGGTCCATGGTAGTCTTGTGAGCCTGAATATTTTATTGAGTCTTAAAGATCCCTTAGGAGTATTGAAGATATGTAAGTGGAAACTGGAGTCTTAAGCAACAACAATAAAATGTCAATAATGTTTTTGCTCATGATTTTTAAGCTCTGTAAGCAAATTATGTCTTTTTCCAAATTATTCTTTTTTCTGTAAAAACATTTGGCTTAAGCTGGTATGGTGGCTCATGCCTGCAATCCCAGTGTTTTGGAAGGCTGAGGTGGGAGGATCGCTTGAGACCAGCCTGGGCAACACAGTGAGTCCTCATTTTCACAGCAAATTAAAACACAAAATTAGCTGGCTGTGGGGGCCTACTTGGGAGGCTGAGGTGGGAGGATAGATTGAGCCCAGGAGTTTGAGGCTGCAATGAGCTACAATAGTGCCACTGCACTCCAGCCTGGGTAACAGAGTGAGACTCTGTCTCTAAACAATAGAAAATAAATGTTTGGCTTAATAAATTGTATTTCGATGTGGCTGTCAACTTGCAGCTCCAGAATAAGGAAACTCATCAATGGGTGGGAGGAGGGGTATCCACAAATCTCTGGAAAGGAAACGTCATGAAATAATAGGTGGGAAACTAGAAAATGGGTATTAAAGAAAAAAAGGAACATTTTCTTCTTTCTTGGCCTTGGTTTCCAAGTCAAGCTGTGCTCAGGGGTGTGCGTGGGTAGAGAAGACCAGAAGTACAGTCAGGAGGCCGGGCGCAGTTGCTCACACCTGTAATCCCAGCACTATGGGAGGCTGAGGTGGGTGGATTATGCGGTCATGAGATCAAAACCATCCTGGCCAACATGGTGAAACCCCAACTCTACCAAAAATACAAAAATTAGCTGGATGTGGTGGCAGCCACCTGTAGTCCCAGCTACTCGGGAGGCTGAGGCAGGAGAATTACTTGAACCCAGGAGGTGGAGGTTGCAGTGAGCTGAGATCGCGCAACTGTACTCAGCTTGGGACAGAGTGAGATTCTGTCTCAAAAAAAAAAAAAAAAAAACAAACAAACAAACAAAAAAAAAACGTATACTCAGGCAGCCCGGCAGAACTGTGAACTCCTCCTCTTCCAAGATTCTGGGAAGATGAGGTAGCCTACAGGATCAAGAGAATAAAGCTGTATCGAGTAACACTATCTAGTTGGTCATTATTTCTGTGTTTATTTCATTTTTGCGATCTCTAAGCCTTTAGAAAAGACATGTTTCAGGATCAGAGCCTGGTCCTGGCAAGGCTTTAGGGAATAAAGTGAAGAATGACGGATCTAGATTTGGGCCAGACTGCAGTACAATATGGGTGGCAGGAATGATTAGAGATCCCTAAGGAAGGTGTAAACCAGTAGACGCTTGAAGTTGTAAGGCCTTCCATCCCTGAGTGTGAAGATGTCTCTTTAATGCCAATATTGGGTGATCAGGGTTTGAGTTCATTAAGGGAGCCTGTGGGTTTCTTTGAGGTTTTCAGAACATTTTGTACTGCCGTTATAGCAGTTAGGAACTCCAAGTTAACAAGAACCATGTCTCATGCATTGTTGCCTCTCCTTACAGTTACATCCTATACTCTGCTTTGTTTTAAAAACGTTTTGCCCATTTCAAAGTAGATCTAGCATTGGCCAGGAAGTCTGCTGGAAGCAAAAAATAAACAAAAAATTCTTTAATTTATGGTTAGTGACTGACTTTTTCTCCTGAAAATCCTAGAAACCAGACTTCCCTCTGTTGCCAATGCCAGTAAGAAATTCATCCGTGGGAGTCCTACACTTGAATATCGGTAGGGATTTACATTACTTATTAATTCATGCTCCATAACATCTTACATTGATAAATGCCTTTCAACCCTAAGAATGACTCAACATAATTTCTTACCCTACTTCCAAAAAGAATGGCAAGTCTGAAGATGTTAAGTAAGGAAGTGTATTGTCATTTTATAAATTAACAGGAGGTCAAAAATTAAATTAAGCAAAAAGGAGTTCATCTTATATTAATATATGAATAAAATAGGCTATGAAATGTTACCATCTTTATTGTTTCAAAAGATATGAACTGCATATGTAATTACCAACATTCAGTTTTCTGAGGGGTTTGATTGATGATGGTATCTATATTTTTCTTAGTTTAGCTGTATTTTCTCAATTTTTATGATGAATATGTAATCTTTTTTTTTTTTTTGAGACGGAGTTTCGCTCTTGTTACCCAGGCTGGAGTGCAATGGTGCGATCTCGGCTCACCGCAACCTCTGCCTCCTGGATTCAGGCAATTCTCCTGCCTCAGCCTCCTGAGTAGCTGGGATTACAGGCATGCGCCACCATGCCCAGCTAATTTTTTGTATCTTTAGTAGAGACGGGGTTTCACCATGTTGACCAGGATGGTCGCCATCTCTTGACGTCGTGATTCACCTGCCTCGGCCTCCCAAAGTGCTGGGATTACAGGCATGAGCCACCGCGCCAGGTCGATATGTAATCTTTATATAATAACATTTACTATTATGCTATCTCTATTTTTAAATATTTTTTAGAGAAAAAATCTTACTACTGCCTAGGCTGGAGTGCAGTAGTGCAATTGGAGTTCACTGTAACCTCAAAGTCCTAGGTTCAAGTGGTCCTCCTGCCAAATCTTCTAAGTAGCTTGGACTATAGGCATGTGCAACCACAACCAGCTAAGTTTTAAAAATTACTTGTAGAGACAGGGTCTCAATATGCTGCCCAGGTTGGTCTTCAATTCCTGGCCTCAAGCAATCCTCCTACCTCAGCCTTCCAAAGTGCTAGGATTATAGGCATGAGGTACTGCACCTATACCTGGCCCAATTACCTTTATTATTTAAATGTATTGAAAGCTCATCATGTGTCTATCACTGAGTTAAACATTTGGCATGGCATAGTGATGAAGAGAGTGGAGTCTGGAACTTGTTGCACAACTCGAATAACCTCAGCCCCCTCCACTTACCAGCTATGGGATCTTGGATAGAAATTTCAACTCTCTGTGCCTTGGTTTCCTTATCTATGGTCATAATAATAATACCCTGAATTATAGATTCAGGGTCTATAAGGATTACATTAATTAATTTATGTAAAATATGCAGAATAATACTGGCACTTAGTATGTACCATGTGTTAACTGATAAAGTATTTAATACTCACAGAAACCCTATGAAGTAGCTATTACTGTCTTAATTTAAAAACAGGAAATTAGGCTTACTTTCCCAAAGCTGCAAGCTAGTAATTAGCAGAACTGGGACTTTAACCTGTTCATTCTACTAACTACCCTCTAAATATTCCTCTTAATCATTATTTTAAAATAAGATTTTGAATAGAAGAATCTAAATAGCCAAATACATAACTCCCAGAGGTTAAATTAGCTGATTAAAGTCTTCAAGACAAATTTTAAGATATAGCCCATAAAATGGTTATTTCTATAATGAAGGAAAAATGCACTACAGCCATAGGATGATGCTGATATAAGTTCTAACTAGTATCAATAATACAACACTAACACAACAAAATTGTCAACAAAATTCTTTGAAAGCAACTTTGAGAGTCAGCACTACTTGCAAGAAATCACAATCTGGCCTAGTCACTGATTATGTCTTTGTTTCAATTTTTATTTGCTTTATGTACTTATTATTATTATTGTTTGAGACAGGGATTCATTCTGTCATCCAAGCTGGAGTGCAGTGGAATTATCACAGCATACTGCAGCTTTGAACTCCTGGCCTCAAAAGATCTTCCCACCTCAGTCTCCCAACGTGCTGGGATTACAGGCATGAGACACAGCTCAAATTTTAAAAGCCACAAAAGGGTATACTGTGCTTCCTGCCCTCTCAGCAGGTAACCAATATTACCAGTTTCCTGGGTGTCTTTACACAGATGTTCTATGCATACACATGCAGATATGTATGTTCCTTATCCTTCTAAAATATCCTTTTGCTTTTTACATAAATTATAGCATATATATATATATATATATATATATACTGTTCTTTACTTGCTTTTTATACTTAAGAAAACATTTTGGCTATCATGCCCTATCTTCAGATGAAGAGTGAAGGAGTTAAGAATATGTCAACCCAAAATATGCCCCTCTGGCACACTGACACTTTGAGTTAAAGGCACTTGAAAAACACCAGGTGCAAGAAGATCGTTCTGACCTTCATGCTGTTTCTTCTTCTTTTTTTTATTTTTTTGAAACAGGGTCTTGTTACATGACCAGGATGATCCTCAAACTCCTGGACTCAAGCAATCCTCCCACTTCAGCCTCCCAAGTAGTTGGGATTACAGGCACATGCCACAGCGCCCAGCTCATACTGCTTTTTAAAAGCAGGAGATGAAAATCCCATTTGAAAGTTACCCTCTCAGAACGAGACACTGGGGCCTACTTGAAAGTGGAGGGTAGGAGGAGG